ATTTTTAATACTAGGGCTAAAGGATTTGTGAATTAATCTATGATAACAACTACTATGAGTTTAAGTGACCAAGCAAAAGTTTAGACCAACATTTAATCAAGAGGTTTTGAGTCCAACTAAACCATTTTTCAAAGGTTTCTCTAAAAAAAAAAAAAAAAACACAGAAATGTCAATACCTAAATGGGCAAAACAGGTAGATTACCCCAAAACACTGAAGAAATATACTGACTTCACTTGAAAATTCACACAACTTTCAGAATTTCTTCATTTTGGCTTCTGCTTAACAAATATGCACTAATTTGGGTTGATGTAAACTTCAAAGGAGGCCTTTTTACAGTTGTGGTTGTAAAGAGGAACTGCAAAAAAGTTCAAGGAGGAAGAATACCTTTGTTGGTGACTATAAATGAACCACATACCTCTGGTTCCTGCTGAAAGATGACAACACGACCTCCTTTGTCCCCAGTAGCAAGGAGCTCGCCAGTGTGATTGAATTCAACAGTAGAGATGATGTCAGCTGTAGAGGTAGTCACAATAATTAGACACAAACAAAACTGCAATGTAATTGATTTTATTTTTTAAGCCAGCTCTTTCTTAATTTCTTTATTTTCTTACTAAAACTAAACTGTATAAAATTACTCAACAGTAGAGTATTTTTTATCAACTATGATGGTAAAAACTAAATCAAGCATGAAGACACAACATAAAAGTGCAGCATTGACGCACTTAAGTGTAATTTATCTATATATCAGTGAACACAACTGGAAAAAAAAAATTTGATTTCCCATTCATGCATGGAGCATTTTAGAATAACGGCTTTTTAAAGTTCAGTGATGAAACTATTAATATCCATTTACAGGCTGGCACTAGCATATCTGAGAAACCCTTAATGAAGACAATAAGTGTTGTTCCAGTGCAGCGCACTAAGTGCCAGATACGACCCGACTCCGTGCAAAGCATTGTGTACAACAAAAAGGGGCTGGCAGAAGGAGACGAATCTTTGCAGGGTTTAAATACCTACGACTGTAGTGTCTGTGCAGTAAAAGCTGTCATGCATTGACACAAGGAGAAGCTCTCACATGTTCTTGCTTTCAGTAACGGCTTACCATAAACAACTATTGCTTCTTTGTTAGCTAAGTACTGAACACACACATATATAAACAGTTCTTTTCTGTATGCATTAAAGGGGATGAGAAAGGACAAAAGTAGCTAAACCTACATTGAAAAGATTAAAATCTGCTTGGCTATAAAGTAAGAGGGCAAAGCATGAAAAAAAAAAACACGCAAACAGTAGTAAATAATTTTAAATCTAATTTGCATCTGGATCTCTTGGACAAACAGATTAAAGGGATCATGGACGTCTGTAACTACTAGACCTTAAGAAAGTGTCCCTTTGAAGGAAACATAACTATCCTTCTTCAACATTTTGTAAATCCAAGTATAAATGTTAAACTGTTACATCAAAGATTGTTTATGATCATTAATCTCCCCACTTATTGAAAAGACACATACTCAGGACACAGGAGTGCAGCTATACCAACAATTACCTTTTGTTATATTTGTAATACTACTACAATCTCCATAGATTGTGGATTAGTAGGAAAAAAGCGCCTTTTAAAGATGTAATACCATAGTTTGAAAGAAAAGTAACATATATGCATGCAAGTATAAATATTAGGCACATCTGTGCAACCAGAGCATAAATGTTAGATCGGAGTTACTCTACGAAGAATAAAAAAGACTTAGAAGAAATAGTTTGATTGCATTTTTTTGTATGAAATACGTTGCTTGTGTTATTATAATAACCTTCAGGAAATATGTATGTTACAGGATTGCAATGTGATGGCAGGAAATGGGGGTAAAAATGGGCCCACATGTAAGTGCAGGGAGACAAACTGGAAGCATAATTTTAAATAAATGAGACACTAAAGTGCTTACCTTCAGCCACATCGTCATCCATCGCTCCTTTAACTTGAGAGAAGCACCACTGCACATCACCGCTTCCACCACCGGGCCCTGCACACAGCACCAACACAAGTTTTGACACAGCAACGCCATAGGAAACACATCCTGAACAGCTAGAAGCTAATACAAGGCACCACGACAACAAGGTCGTTTATGACTTGGCACAAACTGAACACCAAAAGTGCAGAGGCAATATCATCCTAGACAAGAAGTTGGGATATGTGTGGTTAGCTCACTTTGAAGCTGTTAGGAATCACACGGGATCTCGCACTAGCCTAGCTTGCTAGTTAGCTTCCTGCTATGGTTTACCACAACAGATGGACATTAAAGCAGCATATGTGCGAATAAGCATGATGATTAGTAAGAATGGCTCATACGTACGTTCTGACAGTTTTCTTTTACCTGCCATGGTGAGGGAATGGGCTCTCCGTAGCAGGTTCAGGCCCTGTACTGAAGCAGTGCTGCTGACCCGGGTCGGTTGGGCTAGTTCTGACCGAGCAGCAGTGGAGGTATGAGGCTGTTAATAACTCCAAATGCCCTCAGTCTGGAGGGTACTGTAAACGCGAAGCTACTTTTCTCCCCTTTGTTTTAACAAGAAAAAACAACGCACAGCGTATAGTACTGGTTTGAAGACTTTGTACTTCACTTCAAGATTTCCCTCGCATCTACCTCCTCCAAGCTTTACACTTTTAAAATGGCGCTACGCGAGCCGTGCTCGGCAGGAATTAGTAAGCAGACTGCACCCCACTCATTTTAAATCAAAGCCTTAGCAAAGGATGCCCCACTCTTGGCAGAATTTCCAAAATGCAACTAATAATGGTTTTGTTACAATTTTAATTGTTTATAACAAAAAGTTCACAAGACATTCTTATTTAAACAACATTATTAATAATCCCCGCCCTTGTAAACTATGCCGTTAACAAAATCGAACTAACCTTCTGCACACGCTCGAACCGTTAAACTCTTGTAAAGTTTAGTTCACTGAATTCGACTTCATTAGATATACTTGGAACTTCCAATTATATTAACTGCAGAATGAAGTTTATCAGCTATAATCTGGGAATAAAACGTATTGTTTTTAATTGAATGTGTATCGTCAGATTGTATTAAAATATATAGTGATTTCATTGGAGTTTAGTTCTTATGATGCACAACGTGTGAACACTTCTGTTGACCGGTATGCAAACTTTTTAATGCAGCTGCAGAGAATAGGAATTTTACTGAAGCAGCATCATCTCACAAAATAAAGAAATCCACAAAATAAAATAAAAAAAATAGAAATCCCACACTACTATTTAATACTTTGCCAAAAAAAAAAAAGAAACACACAGTTTGATGCATTAAAACTAGTTTTCCTTTATAACAATCATATGAATATAATAAACGCTCAAGGTTGGGGCATATAGAGGGAAGTAATGCCTTTGATGCATCACAAATACTCCATGGTTACATACCAGACCCACTTAATGCATTTTTTGCTCAAAATATTACTTTCATCATTCTCTCAATTTTTTATTTAGATCAGAAAACACTAAATGTTGCTTACCTTATAAAATCATCAGACATTAAAACAGCATGGCCTACTAACCTGAAGATGTAATTTTTTTCTGCAGCTCTTTAAAACTTGGGTTTAGATTCTTTAAACTGATAAATATAGGTGTTCCTTGAACAGAGTGACGAGGGACAAAAAATAGACCCTCTGTTTCGTATTTGTACCAAAAAATAAAAATAAGAAAATTCAAATTATGTTATTGACTTCAATAGAAAAGGAATTGGGACACAAAAAGGCTACTGAATTCTGATTTTATTCTTTGAATTTTGACCTTAATCTTAGAATTCTTACTTTAAATCTCAATCAAATGTTAAATTACTGAGCAATCTATCGCCAAATCCCAGGATTGACAATATGATAAGGTAGGAATATTATAAGTAGTCATAATTTTATAAGAATACTTTAGAGATTAAGGTCAGAATTCTGTGACAAAAGTGAGAATTTGTAAAAATTCTGAGATTAAAGTCACAATTAGGATTACTTATATAGCACCAATTCACAAAACATATAATCTCAAGGTGCTTTAGTTTAACCAGGTCATACAATTAGATTGTTTCAAAGTTTTGTATCTAAGGAAAACAGAAACAGAAATCCCTCACACTGAGCATGCATGGAGTGACAGTGGAGAGGAGAGACTTGCTAAAATAAAGTTAGAATTCAGAGATTAAAGTCCCAATTCAGAGATTTTAATCTAAATCCTGAGATTAAAGTCAGAAATCAATACTATTTCTTGTTTTATTGAATGCTTTAAACTGAAAGCATTATGATTGTTAAGGAGATAATTAATGGACCTCAATACTGGGTCTGTTTTGTTTTTTAGTACAGCTTGTTCCTATGGGAAAGGAAGCCTGGATTGGACCATCATCCACCTTGCTGAGATACTAAGAAAAACCATCTGGTTTAAAAGGGTTGCATTGTTGCGTCTGGTGTCTGTCATATTCTTCATGACAAAACTCTGCAAGTTCGGCAAATTTGCTGACCAACCGAGCACAAAACAACATGGCCATTAAAGCTGGTGTTGGTACCACTGATAATATGGGCAGAAGCAGCATCTCCATAAAGCTTGTAGGAGAAGAAGGACATTACATGGCTTGAAATATATTGTTGGACTTCAGAACCATCCATCCATCCGTCCCTCCATCTGTCCTTCCTTCTACCCATCGATCCATCATACCCACTTCTCTGTGGGGTTGTGAGGATGTTGATTTATCAATAAGTTATTTCTAGAAGCCCTGTTTTAAAAACCAATGGAAACAATTCGTTTCAACAGATTGTCAGGAAAACATTTTAAGTTCAGTAACCTTTTGCATTTAAAGGCTTCTCTGTCGCTTCTTTTATTGTAACCTCTTTGTAATTCAGTATTTTCACATTTGATTCTAACAAGTATTATGGTTTCAGAAACAACCTCTTAGATGTTGCTGCATTTTGAAGACCTAATTTGAAAAAGAAAAAAAAAGACAAATTTATTAGAAACATATAAAATATCTATTCACAACCATAGAAACATGTTTAATAGCATCCATTGAAGCTGTCATACAATACATGAATTATAAATTGCAAATGTGATCTCAACATTAACAATCATACATTACGTTGAAGCTGTAAAGGCCAGTTTAAAAAAAACACACAAAACAGAGTCCAAATTAGACATAGAGGAGGAAAATATCACAAATCCTTTTGGCTCTTTCTCTTATTTTCTAGCAACTGCATTAAACATTGACTCCCAGGAGGGCTGGTTCAATCAGTCTCAGCTCTAACTCCAAAAAGAAGACCATTCTTCTTTTTTCTCCTTTCACTTTCCCAATATAAAGTAAGTGGTCCACCTGGCCAGAAGCAAAGCACCAAATATCACTGTGTAGCTGAGGAGAACAAATTTGAGGACTTGTTTGAGTGTCCGAAGGAATCGCATGAACAGAGGTTCCACATCCAGGGGCTTGATCTTCTCATCTCGATTCATCCTGCAACACATATTTTATCATAAGGGAAAAAGAAACATCTTCAAAGGATCATGGAACATCTTGGAGGTCATAACATCAGAAAACAAAATAATTTACCAGAAAACTCCATGATAAATAGTACATACATTAATACACATTTCATTTAAAACTTTATACATTTCCAGACTCAAACTCCTGGATGTTTGAGTCATCTTTTAATAATTATAGCTTTTGTTTATCCTCTTGATATCCACCTTATTTTGGGAAATTCTCACCTATTTTGCATACCCAAATGGAAAAGCCATTAACTTAGGAACTGTAAGCTCAAATTAAATGTATGAGACATTTGAAAACTAACACCTTCTAGTTGGTGGACAGTGAATATATACATGAAAAAACGAGTGAGTAAAACACAGCCCAAGCTGCATCACTTCAAACATGACTCAAAGTTGTTTTTTTATTCTTGAAAATAATAGGTCTGTTTTGAACAGCAGTTATAAAGACATGCTTGCTTGTTTTTGCCGTTTTGTCATGTTTACATTTTGACATGTTGCTATATCTGTGGTAATTGTGCTTTGGTGCTTTCTGTGTCCATAAAATGAACTTGGTGGTTGAATTGTGGAGAATCTAAGCTTTCCAACAATATCTAACATGTCTATATTTGTAAAAATTTTACTGGTGTAATTTTCATGCATTCTGAGTTATTAATTTTAACCGCTGGTGACCCGGTGGGTTTTGAGAGGATATGCACAGAAATTAAACGTAATCATACTGATTCCTACAAAGATGTAAATTCCAATATTCTGACAAAGAAAGATAAAATTCACTTTGTGCTAAATTCATTTTAATTAAGCTGTTTTTTTTAATTCCACCTAATTTTAGTGACTTGATGCATTACAATGACGTGTTAATGATGTGGTTGTGAGAGTAAACATATGTTCATAATATATTCATCTTGTTTGTGAAAATGTAGCCTACCTAACAAGAGGAATTAACCATCCTGACAAATAGAGCTTTGACAGATTTGAGCCTGATCTTTTGTTTAATGACGTTTTCATACATTGTGAAGTTTCCTCTGCATTGTTTTTATGCTTTTTTATAGTGACACTACTTTTTTCTAGCAAGCTTTTACATAGCTGCATGATTTTCTGAACCTTTTAGTACAAAACATTAGCATTTTTTGAAGGTAGACTGTTCTTAAAATGATGCTGAAGTTCTGCTTGGGTAGTTTTATACTGAGTAGCTTCTTTGTTTATGTAGCATCAGGAACTTGTTAAAGCCAGTTTAGTTAGGAATAATTAAAATATTTATTAAAGATATTGAATTTCTGATGTCTGATGCTTTTATTCTGACTTTCAGAGTATAAAATTACAATTTAAATTCTTGGTTTGAGATCTAACCCTCCAAAATTCATCCATGGTTTTAGACGAAGCAAGCAGCAGTGAAAAGGTCCCAGGTTTAAATCCTCACCTGGGGTCTTTCAACTTGAACCTGGCATTTTTTTAAACTCCCGCTCATGGTGAAAAAACATACACTTACTGTTAAGCCACAGTTTCCAAAAAATAAATAAGGATGGCTGAAATAATTAATCCCTTTAATGATGCAGTAAATCATTGACGGTGTAAATGATTGATGGTGTAAATATTAAATACAAATAGCAGTCCTCTAAGCACCAACTCCCCTGCAGTTGGTGGGCCCACTGGGGGAATAGCTTGAGTCATCCCTGGCTAGGTCCCGCAGGGAAGAAGCCCACCACCAAACAATCATCAAATAACTCCTGACCTTGCTCCAGGGTGAGGTCCCGCCTCCATGTTACCAGGCAATATCACATTTCGACCAGGATGAGAATCAGCTCCCCCAAGTCCAAGGCCATGGTTCTAAATCTGAAAATTGGAGTTCATTGATCTGTTGTGTTGGTTTACCTTCCGAGCCTAAACTATGGTCATAAAATCTGGATCAAGACTAAAAGAGATCCCAGATAAGGGGTGGCAAGGCACTCGCCTTAGAGATAGGGTGAAGAGCTCAGGGGGCTGTGAGAGGCTTGGGAGTAGAGCCATTTCCCCTCCACATCGAGTGAATGCCGCAACCTAGTCCTGGATAAAGCAAAAGACAGCCACAATACATTTTCGAAGTTTAGGGTTATGGCCTTCAGCTGCTCAGCTGTCTGTAGGTGTTCAGTTAGTTTCTTTAGCAGAAATGCTACATTACTGCAGGTTTTGTTCTTAATATGAGAATCCGAAAAGGAGGAGGATTCCTAAAGACCTATAAGATCTGGATGCATTGTGTGATAAAAGCGTGTTCAGTGAATAAGCCTTCCATCCATCCATTTTTCTTCACGCTTATTACTGCTGGGGTCACGAGGGGTGCTGGTGCCTATCTCCAGCTGGGTGAGAGGCGGGGTACACCCTGGACAGATGGCCAGTCTAGCACAGTGCAACACAGAGACAAACAGGACAAACAAACATTCAAGCACACACTCACACCTAATGAGAATATAGAGGAGCCAATTAACCTAATGGTCATTTGTTAAAATGTGGGAGGAAGCTGTTGTACCTGGAGAGAACCCATCCATGCACAGGGAGAATAGGCAAACTCCATGCAGAATCGAACAGGAATCGAACATGGAACCCTCTTGGAACAGTGCTACTCACTGCACCACTGTGCGGCCTCTGTAAATATGTGTAGCTGTATTATAAAAGCTTATTAGAAACACTTTAAAAAACAACTTCTACATACAGATAGAGATTTGTGAAACAGAAATGAGGTATAAAATAATTCTTCAAAGTCTGCCCTGAACAGAAACAGATAAGCTCTAGCAAATATCTGATAAAATTTCAAGGGAACATTTTTTATGAGGTTTAAAAAGAGTATAATCAAATATGACGTCAAGATTTTTAATTTGTTTTCGATATTTTTTTGCTTTACAGTAAGTTTCTGTGAGGTTATAGAGTAACAAGGTGTGATTAATAATTTATGTTTAAATTGGACTAAGTGGGTTGCATTGATCCGCTTTGTTTGTGTGCAGTCATCAACAATGTGTTGAACATTGTTCATGTCTTATTTGCAGATAGTCGTAGGATGAAAATCAATGTCAAACACTGAGCTTTTGCAGAGGTTCAGAAATAAGGTAATATGTATTTATAGTTAGAATAAAAGCCATAGCTGAGCTGATATTAAATGTATTTAATGCAGAATACAATACACTGGTATAAACATAAGTTGTTGTTTTTTTTTTAATCAGGAAGAACTATTTAACATATTTATAGTACTGCAAGATAATACTTTATATGCAGCCAGAAAAATACTTAAAAAAAGTCAAAGGTTATATTAGTGTAAAGTAAAAACAATCCTACCTTGATTTTTGCTGGGAGAGAACAAAAGCCGACCAGATGCTGAACTGGTGTCTCTTCTGAAGTTCAACAAAGTGTGTCCAACGTTGTGCGTTTTGAGCCCTTATTGCAGAGGAGGAGCCAAAGGCAAAACAACTGATCTCAAGGATCTAAATCTCCCTGGATTGATCTAATGGGAGTTTACGTCTTCTTTGCACCTGCTCCAAACAGAAAGACAACTGCAAGATTTTAGCAATTGAAGAAAAAACAAATCAACCAAAGCAGCCTCTGAGCTTTTTAGCCAATCAACAAGAGGTAAATTAACTTTGCCTTGACAAGGGTCTTCCAGAAATAAATCTCAGCAGGTCTCTTTCAGTGTACAGTGTAAGGCAAGGAGAAGGTATTGACTGATACAGATATCAAACACCCTCCTGCTGCACAGTTATCCTCTACCGGAACATGGAGCAAATGGCCTCCTAATTAAATCAGCGTCCTGCTCTGTCAAATCATGGGCCGCCATGGGCTGAGCTCTCCAGACAGCGCAGGGCTATTATCGGCTGATCGGGAGGCCTGTTACTGTGCTAATTGCTCCTTCAGAGAGCAGGATCACTGCTGACGGATACACTGGCTTAAAAAAAAAAAAAAAAACTCTAAACAGGACAAATGGCCAAGCAGGTGTTGAATACTGTTTTATTTACCGTTGTTCTTCAGCAAAAGAGACGACAAAAAAAAAAAATCTTCAAATGCAAATGAAATTGCATCATTATTCACAGATCTGATCCTTGACAATGCATATAAATATATATATATACAGTATATCTGTGGTTGAGCAACCACGTAACAATAAAATAAAGTGTGAAGGAAGTGGAAGCATTAATCCAGATTTATCTTGTAAGATTTATTGATGACAGATCTTGACTGCATGTCAAGCTGAAAACATTCACACTATGACGGTCTCTTAGCATGGGCAGATTTTTCTCTGGTGGACGGGAATGTGTTGTAGCTTGCTGTATATCCCGGAGACTCAGGAAGTCTGGGATTGTGGTCGGTCCATGAGGGATTTCATCCAGTTTGTGCCATTGATGAGCTTTGTGGTGGCTATGATGTACTCCATCCCGCTGTCTTCCATCTGAGAGAGGAAACGCAGAGCGGCTATTTCTGCATACGTCACCCCACCCAGGAAGAAAACCAGCGTGGTTCGGTTTTCCCCCTGTTGGCCTGAGAAATCAAGCAGGAAAATTTAATCAAAGGTAGAAAAGGAGGGGAAAAAAACAAAACGTGTATCGAGATCATCAATCATATCCAGTCCTACCAACCAAACTGTTCTTGTCACATTAATACCACAAAGTTTGAAGGCATCTAATTAGTCAATAAGTGTATAATTCATTCTTAGCATAAGTCCAGCAGCTATAGAAAGGCCTCATAGTTTTGGAAAAGTAGTAAACAAATAGAATCATAAAAAGAAAAGAACCCAGAAGACAGATTAGAGATAAAGTTATGGATTCTAAAATAATATGCCAAACTTTGAACATAACATATTTAAAAGTAAAGTGTATTATGCAAAAAATAAAAGACTGCACAAACTGCAAATCTACCTATGAAAAAAAATCTATGCTGAATGGAAGACAAAGAATCATTTATGTTGTAGTTTACCACAAAAAAAAAAAAAAAATTACGAGACGCAGCAAAAATATGGAAGAAGGTGCTCTTGTCAGAGAAGAACAGAACGAGACATTTTATCCTACATGCAAGGAAAAATAACCCAGCAGCACATTATCTAAGTAGGTCAAACCTGATGGGAAGATTGATAGTTAAATACAGGAAAATCTGTAAAAGGCAAACGAGACTGGTTTTGTTGTTATTATTGGTTGGTATTATTCTACCAAAATGGTTGGTATTATTCTATTAAAACAATTAATAAATAGAAAAACTCTGGGTGATTGCAGACCTCCGACAAGCAGCAAAGGTCTGCATTTCCCCCGACATATGGAGACTTGACCTTAAGTTAAATACCTGTATTCACAAAATCTTTCAAACAATTACTGGATCCAGGTGGTGATCCAGATCCTCACTAAATGTAATGGATTGTTCTTTGGACTGAGACGCCCCTTTGGTAAAATCTGTTCATAACTTTATAAGTTATCCTGTACACAGACGGACAGAGGGACAAATGCTCCTAAAAACATAACCTTGGCAGAGATAATAAACACAAAGGAGGAGCTGCAGTAGAACAAGTTAGATGGAAATTGATTTATATTCTACAACTACTACCACTATTCTACAAAATATGCAAAGAGTAGTTTTGTTCTATTACATTAAACCCACTTCACACATACACACAATACAAACACTGCTAAGATCCAAGTGATAATGATTACTAAAACATCAAGCAGCCATATTCGCCTAAATTAAAATTTTCTATTATCACCTCTACAAATCAATTGTAAGGCATGTAAGAACAAGTCAGCCATCTGATACCCAAGCTCACACTTCTAATTAGCTCATTTTAAACCAAGCATCTAATCAAAAACAATATTTAGATTTTCTCTGGCGTCTAACATACACAGATTCCAGGTCCCAGCGTAAAAGCCTTCTGTTCATACATGTTCTAAGCTCTCTTCTCTTTACTGTGTACACAGGGGGAACCAAACACTGATGGCTACTCTGGTGGATTGTCAGGTCTCAGCCATCAATCTTCCACTGCTCAGCATTTAGCTTCACCAACACAAAGTCTGTTTCTTATCTACGCAGAGCAGGCAGACCACTGTTTTCATTCTGTGACGAGCAGCAGGGCGAGCGGCGGCCCGGCAACACGGTTTTTGTCTCAGCACCGTAATTCAAGGTTCAACTTTGGGGTTTTGCTTTTTAACCAAGCTGGATTACAGTGTTTACTTTTACAGGAAACCAAATAACACAAATGTGTTCAAGAGAAAACAACAGATAAGCGCACAAACACAGCCTACAGACATGGCTATTATTTTAATTAAACAATTAAATGAACAATAATTCAACTGCTGATCTGCATCTATAAAGCATTTTTATGAAGCCTGTCAAATCTATAGCTAGTTCTTCTATTTTATCTATTAAGGTGTAATTCAGTATTAGTAAAGGCTTCTTTCTTAGGAGGTATTAAGATTAAAAACCCATTTGTTTAGAGCTGCCTTTGAATATTGAAGTTAAACTGTTAACTGAGGTATGATTATAAGGTTGAGGTCCAACAGTTTTATTTGGTTTACTACCTGCTTTTATCACGTTTTTATCTCCATTTGATTTTATTCTGCCTCTATTTTATTGTTTAATTCGTTTAATGCACGTTGAATTGTTGTTGGACTGTGCGAAACAAATAAACCTGCCTTGCATTGAAACGATCTCTATATAAGAGTTTACTTTCTGGACAGTTTAAAGCTTAGATACAGATCAGGGTTCCTCACTGAATGGTGAACATTAAGCATATTTTCCTCCCTTTTATATTTATTTTACCTGAAAATTTCAGTACATGACGGTAATATTTAGGGAATCTAAGATGAGAAAAGGAAATATTTTGTGAAAGTTAAGTTAAGGTATACGAGCAGAAGCTCTGTAAGGAGAACTGAAATCAAGCAACATTAACATACCAGCTGTAAGCACATTTAAAGCGCTCTTCTTCTGCATTATCTAATAACTAGTGGAACAAAAACGCTAATAAAAAACCCCAAAACAATAAACAAAAGCTTAATATGAGATGGAAACTTAATTTTTAATGAATACAATGCTTTGATGGAAGCAAAAAACCAGAGGCATTACTTTCTTTCATGAGTATTTATTGTTTCAGATAGGGATGCACGATATAATCGGCCCCTTATCGGTATCGGCCTTAAAACTGAATATCGGACATCGGCCACCCCACCGATATTTAACCCGATATTTGATCAGCTTCTGAGTTTCTACTTCTTCTTCCTCAAAAACTTCTTTTTTACAGACTTAAAAACTTCTAAAGACGACGGAAAAAATATTGATACATTAAAATATCCCAATATCTTCATATGCTGATATATTGCCATTTAAAAACACCATATCAATCTCTTTTACTAATAAAATATTGCTATATGTCATCGTTATGCTACGAAATCCCCCGAAAATTCACGAAATTTTGCCATATTTTTATATTTTGATATATTGACGTGGTATCGATCTATTTTACTAACAAAATCTCACAAGAATTTGCAAAATATCACGAGAGTTTGTAACAGAACGATGAAATTTCACGAGATTTTGAAAGTAAAATAGATCGATACCGCGTTTTTAAAAATCAATTTGATATCAGCATATGAAAATATATTTGAGTATATTATTTTGTCAGAAATGGATAACAAAACTGCTATTTTCAATGACTACTTATTTTTGTCCAGCTTTAACATCGGTATCGGTTATCGGCTACATGAGTTTTAAAATATCGGCATATCGGATATCGGCTAAAATCCCAATATCGTGCATCCCTAGTTTCAGAGTCTAGGTAGAATCTGGCTGCCAGATTTGACCCAATGTCGTCTCATCTTGGAAACAGCTGAGTCCCGTAATGGAGTACTTTTAGGTCATTAACAATTTAATGTTTCATTGTCGCTGTGGGGCTCTTGGGCCACTGACTTGCGATCAATGCAGAAAACAATCCCTTGTCAGAGCAAATGTTATATTTATCTGTAATCATCTGAATGCTGCCACAAGAATACACAGGTGAAGATGATATTGAAAGCCTTGTAATTACATCGAAATTGTTTCCTTGTTTTCTATTTTTTTGCTAACTTAAGGGCTAGTTATACTCCCGCAGCAGTGTGTCGCAGTGAGCTTATAGTGGCTTATAGTATAAACCAGCCTTTAGTTCACATTTTAATTAGCAACATAAGTGAAATGCTTTACGTCACAAAAGTATTTCCACCGCTTGAACCTTTTCAAATGTATCCCGTCACAACAATAAAATAAAGTGAGTTTTATCAGGTGATGAACCAATAAAAAGTAGTGCATCATCCAGATGTGGCTTTAAGGATAAAAACGTGCATCTGTATTCAGATCCCCTGAGACAGAACGCTGCTGACAACACTGTGTATCACTGTAGGTATAGCATGTTATCAGGAAGGGAGCTTTCCATTACACGTTTTTTTCCTCCACATATTTGCAATAAGCAAATATGCAATAATCCATTTAGGTAATTTATGCAAAAACCCTCTTCCACCACATCTCACCTCTAACACCTTCATGGCTTGTTGCACAAAACTCAGTGCTTTTTTGCAGTAATTCAGCAACCTTGCTTTTGCTCCATAAAAGGTCAGATTTGTTGAGTCCCTAACTAGTTGTTATCCTCCCTGCAGATGCTTCTTCCTCCAGCATGACCATCTTGGCTGTTTCTTTGATAAGTGCCTTCTTTCTTACTTTAAAGCTGTGCCACACTGTTCAATTTTCAATCAGGAATGAAACAGAAATCCATAAAATA